AAAAAAACCCTCCAAAACTCTGTATACCGAATACCCTATCAGAGCTAGTGATCTTTATGTAGATCAAATACTTACCCATCAGTAGCTGATAGGCATTGGCCTCAACATGGAAACTGAAGGATTAATAACTGATGCTCAGGATCAGTGCCGTCCAACCAGGAACCAATATGATGTCCTGACATTTAACAGATGCGTATGTAGAGAACATCCGGAAACAATTGACCCCGTAATATAATGGTGTAGCCGACTGACATCAATAGAGTACTTGCAACGATCTGCTCAATACATATATTAATCAATATGCCGCGCATTCACCCTCCCTCGCAAAGAGAATTAGTGAGAAAATAAGTCATTATAACATGTAAATGATAAGGTTAGCATTTTTTGGAATTTCAACATTCAGACTGATACGGAAATCCAAAGAAATCAATCAGATATAATTGTGAAATTAATCGATTTGTTTTTTTTTTTTTAATTTTTTTACGGCTTTAATATTTTTTAGAGTAAGGTTCATCTTGTACAAGGCTCCGAGGTAGAGGGTTACCTTAAGGTGTAGTTTATATGGATAGGAGGAGAAGATAACAGTTAACTCTAGACTTTAACATGTTAAAGATTGTAGTGGTCGAGAAAACATTCTCTTGGGAGTTTGTTGCACAGAGCAGTGGTTCGTGGGAAGAAGCTATTCGAGTGGAATTACTTCTCACCGATGGAATATGAAGGGAATGTGGGAGGTTTGCTAAAATGTGAGGGCCATGCCGGTTCCTAACCGTGTATGTTAGACCTGGTGGAACCAATGGATCGTCCGAGCACTTCCCACCACATCCACCCTGTGTGAGAGAGAGGTTGGAGGGTGGAAAATAATTCGTCACCCACAAGGATTCGGAGACGCTATTGAACTCTATCAAAACTGGTAAGTGAGGACTGGGCAGCTACCGCCAGAATATGACAACAACAATACTCCATTTTCGGTTGTAGGATAGTACGGAAAATCAGATAATTACTGGAGCAGTAAAGGGAGCCGACCATTTTACTTGCATCTTTAGCGAGTACGAGTTCCACTTGAGGCCAGATGTGAGTTTGAGGTCCAGTAGTCCCTCAAGGCATGGAACCTCTGACTGGGACTTTCATCGAGAAGAAGATAACGGTTAAACCTAGTCTTGAATAGGTTAAGATTATAGTGATCGGAGAACCATCGTTTTGGGAGTCGTTTCTACAGGGCGGTGGTTCGCGAGAAGAAGCTGTTTTAATGGAACTTGCGTCTCACCGATGGAATACGGAGGGAGTATGCGTCGTTTGTTACGATATAAGTGGCATGACGTGTCCTTGCCGTGGAGGCTTGAATGTACTTCGTCCGAGAGCTTTCCGCGGAAGTAGCCAGAGATCAGCGAGAAAGAGACACAAGCGCTCGGAGACGCTTTTGGACTCACTCAAGGCTAGAGAGTAAGGTCTGTACATCTCCCGCCCAAATATAACAACAGTAACTCTATTTTGGGCCCTGATCTGGCTCAGGTAAAGTTAGAGGATATCAGGAGGAATCAGGTAATTACTGAATCGGTACAGGGAGCCGACCATTTTACTTGCATCTTTAGCGATTGACCGTATGTACGAGTTCCATTTGAGGTCAGGTGTGAGTTTGAGGCCCAATATGCCCTCAAGGCATGGTACCTCCTCGAGGAGACATCCGTTCGGGGTCCGAACGGCGGTGATGGAATGAAACTAGTTTGGTTTTCGAGACCCTGAATGTAACCAACCATTTTTTACCCCACTGGGTAATTAATGCTCGATCCGAAGAGAGGTTAGCTGCCAATCTATGATCGTCAAGATTTTTGGAGGTCGTATCTTCGGTATAATTATTTACAAATGATCTGAGTATATTCTTAGGCAGATCATTTATCTAAACCAGAAACAGGGTTTGTCCGAATAGTGACCCCTGGTGGATGCCTGCGTTGACTGACAGGGCCTCGGAGAACTAGCTGTTAATAACTACTTTCAGCGATCTACCTGTTAGGAAGGATTGTATAATTAAGAAAACCTTTCCAGTGATTCAATAGCTGGAGATTTTGTATAGCAATCCTTTGTGCTGCACCTTGACGAAAGTCTCCGTGATATTTAATGTTATGGTTCTCGAGGTTTTTTTGTCATCAAGGACTTCACTAAGTCTGTATATAATGGTAGTTAGTACATCAGCAGTGGATCAGGCTGATCGATACACATACTGGTCGTCGCCCAGGAGGTTGTTCCTGTCTATGTGTTCGAGAACCTTGTTGCTTAAAGCCTCAAAAAGCTTATTCACTGAGTCTGCTATCTTAATTCCTTTCAGTTTGATATGTCAACAGTAATCCTTTTTCGACCTGATCTGGCTCTTATAAAGATAGAGGATAGTGTGAGGAGTCAGGTACTTACTGGAGCGGTACAAGGAGTCGATCATTTTACCTGCATCTTTAGCGATCGATCGTATATAAGAGATCCATCTGAAGTCGGGTGTGAGTTTGAGGCCCAATATTCTCTCAAGTCACGATGCCTCCTCGACGGGTTATCTGTTCATTGCGACTGGCGGTGGTTCAGAGTTTGATCGGCGGTAATGGAATGTAAATAATTCTGTTTTCTAGTCATTAAATGCAACCAGCCAGTTTCCCCCCGCCCCACAGAGAAATTAATGCAAGATCGGAAGAGAGGTCAGCTGCCAATCTCTGATCGTCAATAATTTTTGGAGGTTCACTCGTATATCGTCGTATCTTCGGCGTAGATATTTACAGATATTTATTCCTTGAATTACAGGAATTGTGGCATATGGCCGAGGGGAGAAATAGGGAGGGACTGGTTTTCCTCAGCTGTCCTAGTCCTAGTTAATCCGACTCGCGACCCATTCATTCATTATAATTTACACATTAACCACAAGAATTTATCGATTACCTTCAATCCTACATACACCAAAATACCACATACTCGCAAGGAACCTACAAAACAACCCATGACATAAAAATTTGAAAGTACAATCTGTGGAGTTAAGCTTCAAGATAGGACATCTAACGTAGACCTGTTTAACAGGTGTAACATTGGAGGAATCGAGACTTTTATCATACAGTCTCAGTTACGGTGGACTGGTCATGTCTTGAGAATGTCTGATGACAGGATACCCAAGATCCTAATGTACAGCCAGTTAGATCAGGGCTACAGGAATGTAGGACGCTCATGGCTAAGATACAAAGACAAGCTGAAAAGCAACTTGTCAGCAGTCAATATACCACATAACACCCTTGAGCGCTTAGCCTTGGTGCGGGGAGAATGGAGATCAACGTGTTTTAGTGGACTCAGCAATTTTCAATCTGCTTGTCTGAATCATCTTCAAGAAGCGAGAGCAAGATCTAAAAGGTCAGCCAATCTAACAGTGATCTCATCTCACAATCCTCACACTTGTTCCATATGTGGCCTCCTTTGTAAATCACTATCGGGTCTTAAATGCCACTTAAGATTATCGCACAAAATTTCATAACTGAATCAATAAGCTGTCAGATCTTCATACGTCGAAACCGACGGGAGAGTCCATTATTATTATTATTATTATTATTATTATATATGTAAAAATCCCATGATTCATGAACTGATGGGGAAGGGGAGATGAACCCCAAAACAAACTCAAAATGTGAACAAAAGATACAACTAAAAAAAAACAATGTTAGTAGGAACCGTCCACCCTTCAAAATAATAAGAGAGGCCACTGTGTTCTGCCACGAGACAGAATCAAGCAGCACATTCACTAATGGAATGGGTAGGGTAAAAATAAATGCAGTATAGATATTTGAAAATGATCTGCGTATATTCTTAGGCAGATCATTTAGGTAAATCAGAAAGAGGGTTGGTTCCAGAAGTGACATCTGTGTGTGTGGGGGAGATGCCTGCAGTGAAGGGCATCTTTAAAGACGTTCAAGAACCTAAATAAATACGACAAGGACATCAGAAAATTGAAAACTTTTCCCCTTGCATAGTTCTTTTGCCTTTTGGAAGAAATAAGCGTAGATTCATTATTCAATACCCAGTCATTTTTGTTTCTCTCTAAGAATTTAACCACATTGAAACGTCTGCCATTTTTGCAATCATTCTTTAAGGATATCAATCCGTTTGAATATACCTCTTGGAATAGTTGGTTGCTTGTTTTTGTTTAGCGGCATATGAACACCTCTATGGGTTATTTAATGCCGAAATCAAAATATTTTCTACACAATTTTATCGTTTTAACTAAATATATTTGGTACGCAATTGTATGCCTTCAACTAGGGTATTTGTACATAATCTTATACTTTCAGTAAATTAAGGACATTGTTGCCTCAATTCCAGAATAATTTTCTCATTAATTGTATAGCTATATCTTTTTTATAATATATTGCTTTTAAATCATTTTACATCATTGGAAATCATTTTACAATTCTTATAAAGAAAAGAAAAGGGGTAGAATCGTTGAAGAATCCATTCTTTAAAAGAAATCGATAGAATCTGTTGACGAAAGTTGAGAGAATGTTGCGCGACTGTGTTACTTTTAAGAAAAAAAAGTGACCGTTTCTATAGAAAACGTGTTGGCATAATTGCTTCTGGCCCAATCGTCAGTGGATTGGATTTGATTTCTTTAACAACATTGAAGTTAACTATGTAAACTCAATGGGAAATGTTTAAATAGATTATGAATACTGTAAGTCCTCTCCAGAATTTAGAAACATGAAATAATGTGGGCAAGGTTTATTTAGTTGGTTGAATTTGTTTAGTGGTATATCAACATCTATGGGATATTTAATGCCGAAATCTAAATGTTTTGTACACATTTTTTTTTTGTATAATAATGGCTTAATAAGTTTTTAACCCATAGCAGGGAGGTTATGAGGTGGATTCATACCTTTCCTAACGGGATTTACGCGTAAGTAGTTATAACAAACGCAACTGGAAATCAAATTCGGTTCTCCGATTAACAGTTCCGAATAATTATCCATTAGGCTACCGGCACGTCCAAGCTTACAGCACCAGGTATTCTCAAACTGTTACCCATCTAGGTACTGACCAGGCTCGACGTTACTTAACTTGGTTGATCGTACGGAAACCGATGTTTCAATTGTTCGTGTTACCATCTTTTTTACGAGGGGAAAAAAACAGCACTTATGTCTTGATTCGTTTCGATGAACGTCAATTAGCTGGTAAGACAGTGTGCAGTTTTTTTTGTTTTTTTTTAATTATACTTATATAGTGATTTACTAAGCGTAGCTTAGATGTTACACAAGGTTGAAAGTACGGATCACCCAGCGTGGATCGAAATCCCTACTCCATCGTAATTAATCTATCGAGACAAGCATGTTAACCATTACTCCACGTCGAAGTGTCCAGTGATTTATTAAACTTGGCTTACATGTAGCACAAGGCCGAAAGCATGGAACACCCAGTGAGGATCGAACTCACTACTCAGTCGTAAATGATCAAGCGAGAGATTACACTACGTCGAAATGCCCAAATTACACACACACACACACACATATGTGAACGTCTTTACACACAGATGATATATATATATATATATATGTAAAGGCGTTCTACCCCCACCCTATTAATTCCGTTATTTATTATTTTAAATGTAGTTGTGAACTCGACTACATAGGTAGAACGATACAGTGTTTAGATGTTAGGATTAAACAGCACGTGCCTGCTAAAATACTCAACAAAAATTTTTCGTTTGGTGATACCATTCGAAATACATATGGGTCTTCTATAGCGGATCACTTGATAAATTATCTGACCTGTGCTATGGATTTTAGTGTGAGTTGGTTCTCTGTTCTGGCCAGAGCACACTCATTATTCCCTCTGAAGGTGTTGGAGACGCTGTTCATCAGGTCCAGGCGACCTGCTCTTTGTAAACAAAGAGACTGTTTGCTTGGGATTGCGGTGCTGTGTCTTTAGCATCTTTGGTGTTATAAATTTTATTATTATATTTTTCTCCTGTCCATTCATTCACGTCATCCGCGACATACTTTCTTCGCATAATTTGTTTCCCCGTTTACAGTTCTGATGAGAGGGGACGAAACCGGTCGACTTGTGTTTGTGGTTTTGTTTTAAAATTTATCATGGCCTATAGTAAAAAATTTCTTGTATTTAATGCCATAATACGTTTTTGTACCGTTAAAACATATATATATATATATATATATATATATATAACATACATGATTCATAATTTGAGGATTTGTATAAAGACCTAGAATCCTCAAGACAGACATACAGAAAAGCACTGGACTCCCGTTTCTTCCTGTTTCGGACTCATCGGAAGTGTGTATCCTCTACCGACTCTGAGTTTTGAACTCTGACCGTTACGATACGACACGAGCATCATACCATTAATCAGTTATATAAACCTATGCTAGATCCAACTTCTAATGCTCTGGATTGAGCGGCTCTTGGGTTATGTATGCTTGGATGAGTATCGCCACAACTTCCTGTCCCTTGTAGCTCTTAATAAACTTTATCTTTCTGTTATTTCTCCTAAGGTCTGTTCCGCCATCTATTTGTTCAAGCTCATTAAGAATGTTATGTGTTGTCTTCCTCTATCCCGTGAGTATCAAATTTTCCAAACCCTCTTTCTTCGTTCTGTGCCCTAGAAACCTCAACTCTCTTTTTCATGATGTTAAGTATTAGTTTCCTTTTTGTCTACATTTTCTCCAAAACTTCGTCGTTACTCACATGTTCTGCCCACGATATCCTCAGCATCCTTCTGTAGAAACGCATTTATGTTGCTTCAAGTTTACTCTTCGTTTTTGAAGAGAACGTCTGCGCATTGGATTATATATTCTAAATATTATACTTAATCCCCATAAGTATGATAGGTGTTCAAGGGTTACTATTATAATTATTACTAAAATTAGCCGAGTCTGGCACAAGGCTATAATAGAAGTGCGCTCAGTAAGAAATGCATTCAAAATCAAGAATGGGACAGGAAGTAATGCAGTCGTTACTGTAAGAATAGAATATGTATATGAACAACATAAATGCATTGAAAGGGACTGTCATGGGTCAAGAATTAATACAAGCATTACGAACAAAATAAGAATATTATATGTATAATGCTAGGTGCTGTAAGCTTTGGATGTGCGGGTGGTGAAACAGATAATGGGTCAGAATTACAAATCTTGGAACTGAGTTCCAATTCCAGTTGGGTTCGTTATGTTCACTTACACGCAAATACCATTGGGAAAGGTATGAATGTATCTCTACTCCCCCAGGTGTGGGTTAATGAGTAAAACTTCAGCAAGTAAATTATTAGCTCCAAATTTTCTTACAATCACCCCAAAAAATTTCCGGATATATTTAAAAATAAAAAATCAATCAATCAATCAATCTCTCTCTCTCTCTCTCTCTCTCTCTCTCTCTCTATATATATATATATATATATATATATATATATATATATATATATATATATATATATATATATATAATGTAAATACATTACTAATAATTTTACTATATAAAAGGCAGTGAAAATTACTTTCAGTAATGAAATAGCCTGTAAGATTAACTCACTGACTATATTATTATTGTAGATACTCAGCTAACATTGATATTGAGAATTTTAATTTAAACAATATTTCATACACAGCATTTTTTTTTTTGTTTGCCCCTAAAATTTGCCTTTTGAAGACCTAACATTGTTCAGTGCAATGGTGACACAACAGATATGGTCATTACAAATATATATATATATATATATATATATATATATATATATATATATATATATATATATATATAAGTGCGCAGGTATGCAGAAAAATAGAAAAGAACACGTTGTGTGCATAATCTGGAGTTCCTTAGTATTTTTGTTTTTATTTTTAAGAAGACAGTGCTCCATACAGAAGTAGAGCTTAATTATAATAATATTTTTTGTTTAAAAATATGATTCCTTCGCTACATAAGAGTTCTCATGTTTCAAAAACGAGAGCCGAAACCATCCAAATAATTATTAAAATTAAGTTGAACTGAGGTGTTTAGTCCCGTTTCATATTTCGCTTGAATATGAAATATCCAGAAGAACAATCTACCCCAGTGGACGAAATAAAGGGTTCGGTTCGAAATTCCAATCACCTGAAACGTTGTGAATATGGCAATGAAAATGAGGATAACAGTCCGAATAACGTAAGTAATCAGAATACCTCATCTCAGAGATACTGGCAGAAACTAATTTAAATTTAATAAAAATTTATGCAATCAGTGATAATTATTCAGATTCGTCTGAAACACGGCTACAATAATTTATCACCATCAAAGAGGAAATAGACGAAACGAGCAAATTAAACTTGCCTCTTGTGATATGATAAGTATTCAAGGGTTATTATTATAACTATTACTAAAATTAGCACAAGTCTATAATGGAAGAGCACCCAGTGAGCAATGCATTCAAAATAAAAAAATAAAAAAAAGGACAGGAAGTAATGCAATTGTTACTGTAACATTTTCCTTTATCCGAAATTCCCAAATCCGAAAATCTCCAAAGTTCCGGTGCTGACATGACTTGCCACAAATGGAAAATTTCAGATGTGCAGCTGTTGCAAGTGACCTCTTCTGTCCTGGATGGGGATCTCCCAGCACAGCTACGTAGCCTACGTTTGCGCCAGTTTTTGTTGGCGATCGTCACAGCAACACCTTCGTTCGTGGATTACTTACCAGGTGTTTCGTGTTCATTAAAGATATTATTCAAAATTCCAAAAAGTCCTGCACTTATATATGTTTTGTAAGTAGTGATCAATGTTTTTTGCACACATACAGAAAGTACAAAACATTATTTTTTCCATTAAATCTTAATTTCACCACTTAAAAATCCGCGTGAGCATTACATGACTACCGTCATTATCTATAGATAGAATCTATTAAATTTTATATAAAACTACTTTCCGGGTATATGTTATTTACATAAACCTACCTTCAGGGTATATGTATAAACTATGTTATGAAATGTAAAGGGATATCGTATTTATGCTTGGGTTCCATTCCCAAGCTGCCCTATTTTATAGATTCTATATACAAACTAACTAGCCTGTATTCCAAAATCCGAAAAAAAAATCTGAAAACCGAAGCACTTCCGGTCCCAAGAATTCTGGATAAAGGATTCTCAACCTGTACAAAAAATAGCTTAGTATGCCACACGGAGATAATAAAAGTGCGCCCTGTAAGAATTTCATTGAAAATCAAGAAAAGGATTGTCAGTGATCAAGAATTAATACAACAGTTACCGTAATAATAGGGCAATTATATTTACAAAGTAAATGCATTGAAAATAAAGTATGTTTAGGTTGGCCTAAAATTGTAAACTATTAGTCAGAACTCTGACGACCCGAACTGAGTGAAGGTGGTTTGAATCCCATGGCCGTAGAATTATAAGTGTGTATTTTCTTTGTTTAAGTTATGATAAAAGGGCAAAACGCTGGTTGTTTGGCCCACAAATTGGCTCTCATTGTACCCGTAGAAGCCACCTACTGAAGACTGGACACTGTTCGATCCGGTAAAGAAATAACATGGCAACACAAGAAAATGCGAGCGTGTGTCTGTACGAGCGTGTATGAACGGCTGCTAAGTACGAAGTTAGGGGAGCGCTGTGCAGAGACTCGTGCGCGCTCCACCCCGGGTGTAGAGACTTGTGGTTAGACAGACGCCTCTCCCCGCCTCGGTAGCAACTGGCATCAGATGCAGTTGTTCCTCGCGTCTGGGTCAGTTGTGAACAATTCTTCGTGCCCTGGCAAACATTTTAATTTTCTTGTCAGCTCCAATTGCAGATCAGATCTGAGTGGATTTCGCTTGACAACCAAAAAGACAGACGTCAGACACGAGGATTTATCTCTGGGTGGCAAGCGCATTTTGCACCCGAAAAGGACCCAGAAAAATCCACAAGGAAATGAAAAACAAAATAATAATAAAAAAAAAACAACAAACAAAAAAAGAGGATAAAAAGGAATTGAATATGTCTTCCAGACAAGTCTACGGAAAAATTCGCAAATCCATTTCTTCTTATTTTATAGTATTACGACTCTTAAATGAGTGTATGTTTGTGATTGTGCGCCAGTCTGTCTGTATGTCA